CCAATAGTTTTTTATAATATATTAAATAATATATGATTTACCTGAGATGCGTCCGAGGTTGTAACGAGGTCGCTAGCTGTAAGTTGCACAAGCAATTTGTATAATAATTTTATTATGACAGAATTCTGTACAGATATATTTAATATATAATATTAAACAAACATTGGTTTTTACTTTATAAGCATAGTGACATTGTACTTTGTAGGCATTTATTATATGAGCTGTTATAAATGTTTTTAATTATAAAAATTGTATAGTTAATTTTAATCTAATTTATAATTTATAATTTTTAAAATATTTATAAGAAAAAAATTTCGGCATTCATTTAATTTAAAGGTCATTTAGGTCCACAGGATTTCAAAACATAGTTAAAATACTTTTTATTGTTTAATGGTACTTGAAAAATGTTTGGCCAGCACTAAACTGGTTATGTTAATTTGTACTAATTTATTGTATTCTAATTATTGATTATAAATAAAATCAATATTTCTGAATAGGCAATCTTGATGCAACTTATGCCTGATAAAACAGTTAAATGATTAAAATAAACTAATTATAATTAGTTGAAAATTTTTAGTTATAAAATAATTTGCTAATTTTTAAGATTTTACGAATTTTGTAAACAATTCAACTATAAGTGTTTAAAAAAAATTATTACCATGTATTTTAAATATTTTTAATTTGTAAATAATCAATTTTTAAAGAACTTTGTATTAAATTTGCATATTTTCAATAAAAAGACTAGGATCCTCTTATTTTTGACCCCCCCCCCCTCCACCAAAGTACTAACTAGATGTAATCTTATACCAGAAACTATACTCAAAATTGAAAATTGAACGATTTTTACTGTCCTAAAAAGTGATAATTATAGGTTCCGGATTTCAATACTAAGCGCATGACAGACGAAAAACTTATTATTGTTAAATCAATACATTAATTTCTCCACTCAAAATCTAAAAACAGAAAGATGGTATAAGACACTAATAATAATATTCAAGCTCATTTGATTCTCATTTGTCTATTCATATAAGGTTTGTAGTAGTACTAGAAGCTTAATTTAGTGCTTAAACTAGTGTGTTAGATAAACTATTTTCACAATTATATTAGAGTTAATAAATCGACTACATAAGAATTGCGTCCCTGATATAAAAATTGCAATTTGTGTCATATTAATTGTGTCTTAATTATATTTAACAACTACTAGGTTCAATTACACGAACATCAAATAGCTGTGAAGCTTTCCAATTAAAATTTAACGGTATGTTTTATTTTGCTCATTCCAACATCTACAACTTTATTGAAATACTTAAAAACGTACAAAAAGATACTTGTATAAAAATTCGTAGTAATAGTCAAATAAAGAGAATTTAGAGAATAAGATGTGAAATATGTGAAAAACAAGAATTGTCAAGAAAAAAAGATTATAAATACGACGTATACAAAATAACATTTTTTGATTATGTCAAAACTGTATCGTTCAAATTTTTACCGAGCTATAAATAATATTATAACAACATAATATACATAACTTTTATTATTTTACTTATTTTTTTATCTTTATATTTAACGACGAAAACAATATTTTTAATGTACATTTAATTACGAAACAATATTTTTAACTTACCTTTAGCAATATAATATTTATATGTTGCTATTGAGTCCTAAGTCTGTATTAAATGGGAAGAAAAATGATGTATTTACATAGGACACAATTAGTATAGTTGTTAAATATTATCGGGACGCAAATACTGTGTAGTTGTTACTTGTTAAATATATCAGGATACAATTCATATGATAAAGGGATCTTGGAACGCAATTTATTTGCATTGAATAAATCATCCGTTAATAATAATATTATACGCGTTTTATAATATTTTAGCTAAATAATCTAAAAACTAGTCCTATTTTATGCATTATACATGTGTCATATTTCTGCAAGAGTGAGTAGGTATTGGATTAATTGGTGCAGTTAAAATCACACAATATTTAGATACATTACATTTTATATCCTTAAAGAATGTTATCATTATACATCGAATTTAAGAGAGTATCTAATTAAAATATGTAATTCCTATCATAAATATATTTTTATTGAGGTTTTAATGGAATTAACAGTATAAACTTTGTGTTATTATTTAAAATAAACCTGATTTATCAACTGATCGTCATGGAATATTTTACATCGTGGAAAAATTAGGTAATTGTTTTTTATTGAATACATACTAAAAATTGATTACTTATTACATGATTATACTTCTTTATATCTCTCTTTGTTATTTCAATACATGAACATTGAAATTCGGACGAGTAATTTATGAGGTTTGAGTATTAATAATTTAAGTTAGCGGAGTAGTGAGATTCGGGGATATCTTACAAAATTTTGATCAACTCTTCCGCTCACTAATTTTATTAGTATATAGCTGCAGCGTATAGTGTAGCAAGTCAACAAAATCAACAATTTTCGTGCAATGGTTAATACCTATTAATTAAACCTGAATTATGACTTTAAATTGGAATGTTAAATAATATAGACATTACCAACCTTAATTCTTGTGATATTTTGTATACGGAAGTCTGTATAAGATTTTCAATTTGTATAAAATCATTTTTATTAGAAATTATTCAAGATTAGCAGAAAATCGATTATACATTTGTGACAAGTGATAATATATTTGTAACTTGATACTTCAAATGACACAATAAAAAAACAAAATTATTTGTATTACTATATAAAACAATTTTGTAGAAGCTATTTTATACACGATACAAGTTTTAAAAATCATTCTTGGATAAAACGCTATGCCTATTTATGTACTCAAAAGTATGACATTGAATATTATATTAATTATTATAAATAACTAATAAATAAATTACATACAAACTATAAAAAATTTAAACCCTCGAATACACGTATGGAATAACTAAAAATTAATTGGAATAACATTTTACCAAGATGTTGGCACGCGTTTAGGTCAAAAAACAATCTCGTTACTAGTCTTATTGATTGGCAAGTATGTTCATGATTCGTATTTGCGTTAATCATAATTCATATAAATAACGCATAACATAACTTTTCGCTGAATTTTTAATATATTGTCTATCGTTACACAAGCTTGAAGTAGTAATTATATAATATCCATTACGGCTTTATAAATAATGCCAATTACAAATAAAAACATTACTAACTGATAGATACTTAAATGTATTGAATGTTTCAGTAAATTTGTGTTTTCAAAGGCTTTAGTCTATTATTACTAGCTTAGGAGTTTGTAGCATTAATAACGAATATCATCGAAAGTTCTACGATAAAAAAAAACATGTTGTATTAAGTTTATGTACAATGTATGGTTTTAGAACCATAAAATTAATCAAAAATTAGTAACGATTTTGGAAATATCATTCTTATATATTATTAATGTGGAGTTACAAAAAAGCAATGTTTTCAAAAAAAAATATATTTTTTACTATTTTTTATCGTTATTGTATTTATCCTATTTTACTGTTTTAAATGGTAACATATGCTACGAAGCAAAAAACATTTTTGACAATCATAATTTTATAAAAATTAAATTTTTGTTCAAGTATTAGCTAAAATTAGTTTATAACTTATAACTATAAGTATTTCAAGTTTTTATGAGTAGGGTAGTGTTGTGTGACACAGGGATACCCACAAAATGTTAATTCAGTACTCCGCTTACGAAAAACTTTAAAATATATTATATATACATGTATAACAAATTTAGATTTCAGGATCATAACTCTAAATACCTTATACGGGCGGACGTAATTGCAAAGCTGAATGTAAAATATGACCGGCTGAGCTTTTATCAAGATCAGTACCCATAAATTTACAATAATTAACAATGTTGCAGACGTATTTATAAAATTATACCAGTAATTAATATTACAATTATTGTAGTAAACTTTTTTTATTCTCTCAATTTTTTGATCAGTAATAACTGTTAAAAATGTTTGATAGTCGTGTAAAATTAGCGATCTTTATAATTAAATTGCATAGGTACTGTACTACTGTGTCATAATTTGCTTCCTTTACTATAATACTTATATGAGTTATGAATTATGAGTAATAATTTTCTTTCATTTTATAGGAATTATAATAATTTCTTGATTATCGATAAATATGTTATAAATACATTGTTAAATACATTATAGTTTAATAAATATTTTATTTATCAATAGTTAACGACAGTGTCATAATATTATAGAAGCAAAAGTTTATCAAATGTGGTTGCAGCAAAACTAATAACACAATATAATAAATTGTGACCATCAACGTTGATACTTAAAATGGTATACTATTATGCATTATTATTTAAATGATATATTTCTTTAATCTGTTTATTGCTTTGCTTGGTATTTTAGAAGATATTATTTTCAAGTATAATTCTTTACTGTATTTTATTCATAACAAAATCTGTAATACGCATAATTTTGTTTGAAATTCGTCGATAAATTTAATTTAAGTTACTTAAGAAATAGTTATATTTTTTTTTTTTATTTGTAAATTAAAATTTTAATCAACCCAGTTAATTGTGCAAATTCAAATTTTTTTAAAATTATTAACGATCGATATCTGTTAAAAAAAGGGGAGATTATTAAAGAGCATTATATAGTTGTTGTAGCATTTATCGCTATTACAATTTATATACCTATATTGTTTTTGCAGAAATCTGATATACTGGGTTGGTTTTTTAGTTTTAACATTAATAATCATTATGGCACCTCTGGGTTAATAATAATAATTAATGTAATGATACGAAATTAAAAAATAATATTAAATTTAACTGTGAATATTATTAATTCATTTGATACGTCATCATAATATTTCTATACCCACGTTGAGATAACTAAATTTGGACACATGTTATACGCATGCGCAAACGCTTACCAACTACTTTGTACCTCCCTTCAAGGATATTTCCAAAGTATTATTCACTTAAGATAATGGTATAAAGATGGTGTATATAACATGTATTTACTCGTAATACCCGTTTATCGTTTGTGTTGTAGTGACGGACGAATAGTCGATTTGCGATTGCCGCCAGTCTATACGCGTATGCCATTTAATCCACGAACCGATATTTGCGACGTACCGGATGCATGCGTAAATAAAATAATAATAATATTCGAATATTTTTAATAATAGTAGTGATAATATTATTTATATTTTGTTAATAATCATGTCTCGCGCGTCATTGTCGGTATTTGCGGCCGTCGCTTTGTTCTTCGTCGTTGTCGAAGCCTTGCCCGGCGATCTCGACCATCCAGTGGACAATGACATTCCGAAAACTTGGATCGCGAACATATTCTACGAAGCGCTGGTGAACTTTACCGGGCCCATAAATGTGGGTAGTACGGCATGTCGCAAACAGACGGAGATGTATACTAGGCACTTGAAAAACGATTCGCTGTGGGCCGTACAGAGTCAGTAAAATTTACCTGTTAATTAAATATTTCGATCCTTTTTAACCAGCTACTGGTTAGTCATAGTTATTGTATAATTTTAGTACACAAAACCATTAAAATCTATAGTGTTGAAACTCGAAGAATAGTTTTAACTGAAAATGAGTACGATTGAGCATAAAATCGTGAAATAAAGAAAAGACAAAAACCTTATCTTACAACTCAGTGGATATTTTTAGCAATTTTTATCACTGGGCGACATAAAAAAAAATTCACGTGATACGTCATAATCAAAATCAACATATATGTCTAAAAACTACTTTTCAAAATTAAATATAAAAAACCTTACCTATATCTAACAATACCATCAAAAATTTCAACACATAAACAAGTACAAATAATTTATATGGTAAACTTATTATTTTTAGTTAAAAAAAGGGATCAATAACATACAGTTTACATATTATTATATAAGTATAAAAAACAACATATTAAAATAAATATAAGAATTATCTTGTAGGAACTAGTACTAAAATCAAATCAAAAACAATATTGGAATGACTGAATCACCGGATGAAAGATGTCGCATTGTCGCATAGAATAAATTGATTCTTGCATACAAGTATTATCTATGAGTATCTAAGGTGATCGGTTACACGGGTTTTCCATTGTAGAAAATTTCAATAATTATTTGTACTTCCAAATTCAAATTATCGAACGAAATAATATAAATATAAATAACAAAATTAAACACAAGAAATACCTAATTATATAATAATTTTAAATTTCGTCATTTTTACAAATAATCGTAGTCACCCAGTAATTAAATATAATATAGTCTACTAGGTGACAAAAAGTTTTCTCTAGGGGACATTTTTGTCGCCCGGTATATTAGAATATTCATTGTAATGCAACTTGACAATATATTATCAATTTTTAAAATTAAAAAAAAATAATAATATTAAATATATTTGAACAGAGAAGTTAAAACTAAAAATGTATATCCATTGTTAGATAAGATTTTATCTAAAATGTTTGTAATATTATGTAATTTTTTTCTAAAATCTATCTAAATCGATATTATTGATGAATTTAAATGAGCAAGATTATATTATCTTTATATATATAATTTTTTAAATACTTACGTTACAGCTCACAATTAAATAGTCCCCAACGCTTGTAAATTATTTTGAATAAATATTTGTAATCATTTATATTTTTTCTTAAAGTAAATTATGGAATCTATTGACTTTAAAATTATTTATTTTTTAGGAAAACAACCGTTTTATACAATTGCTTAATTGATTATAACCTGTTATATTTGCGATTTACATATTATAAAATTTAAATTGTTCTACCATGATCGTTATCTTATACTCTTCTTTCTATGTATTATACAATATTATAGCATAGATAAATTTAGGAGACTAATTGCCCAAATTGGTCAAATTGGCACTATAATTATTTGGTAGTTAATCGAGCTATCGCCTGATTGATGTATTATACATCATAAAGCATAAGAAACATATTAGTGACGCGGCTGGTTAAAAATCTAAACCGTAAAAATTTTTTCACTATGTGGTTCGGTAGATAATGCGGAAAAAATACATTTCCTGGTAAGTGGTAGGTATGAGATTGATTAATTACACACACAATGAACACGTATATTAAATGAAAATTGTTTTGTTATTCATAACCAGTTTTCTTTTATTATATTGTTTTGGTCATTTTATTATCGTAAGTTTTTTCAATTTTATATCCTTATTCTAATACGTTAACGCATGTAAAAATATTATTATATTATTATTATATTACTGTATTATAATACTCGTATTATGTGAATGATGTTTTAAAAAATGTAGTTGGACCTTCACCTTACTTGTCTTTTAAACGATACAGGAACATCTACAATAATACATTTTATTTTTGTCTTATAAGTATAATTCCTGTTGATTAAAACGCTTATAATAATAATATTTGCACAAAACAAGTTTAACTGGTTCAATGGCGAGCTCAACTCTATTGACATAATATGTGCAGAATACAATTTTAAAATACAACTTATGGAGTATGGAACGAGTTTATCAACTATAAGAATGAAATACGAATGCCTTTAAGCGAATATTATAATATATCATAATAAATATTATTTATTGTAAAATAATATACTAAGAAAATTTAAATTATTTTATAACCAAAATAATATGAAGATAGAGGTTGTCATTTCGATTGATTGTCCGTTGGACAAATTATAAAAATTAAAAATTAATAATTTGCCAGAATAAAATCGTTTTTGTTTATAATAGTGTATTGATTCTATATGTCATCACCATGTATTATATTATAACAAACTATATAACACACTTGTTATCATTTGCAATCTGAATAATGTATCGATTACCAAAATTAAATAACAGAAAAAATAGTACCACTGATTTTTTGTAAGACTCATCGGCATTCGAAGTGCCTGTAGTACAAAATATGCAATATTGTTATACACTTACACTATTATTGTTTATATCTAATCAGTAATCAGTGTAAATAGTGTTTAGATTAATTTTATTTAACTTATCCAGATTAGTATTTCGAGAATTATCTTTCAAATTCAGCCTTTCTTATAAAAAAAAAATTAATAATAATAATAAATTAAAGTTAGTTTTTAGTTTAAGGGCAAGCCGTTAACCTCACTATATATATTAAATATCCATATATCTTTTAAATAACGTTAAGAAATGTTTGCACAGTGTCCGATTCATGGAGTCGGTATCCTAACGGCCTTCTTGTCGGCGCCTCACATCAGATGGGCGTGTACGAAGAATGTATCAAAGTGCAACAGCCCATTAAGGGTAAATACTGTATGCCATCCGTCAAAATTAGCTCGTCGACCGGCACCGATTTCGCGGCGAAAATAAAAAACCAACTACGTGAGAACGACCATGCCTGGTACGAGATACTCGGGGTGAGTAGGTTACATGATATTATGATCACATCAATATTATTATTGTGACTCTTGATAGAAAGAGTAGCATTTAAGTAGGAAACATCTCACAAGTATGTTCCGAAATGACCTTTAGATTAGGGGTAGTGATATTGATTCTTTCAAGAAGTATTCGTTCTTGCCAGGTTAGCTACTTATTTTTACTACCCATCCATGATGTATATTGTAATTTTTATTAACATTTCAATCATTTTTTATTTTTACGTAGACACGCTTGTATTTCACTTTCACTGCTGTTTGAAATTATTACAGTGATGGGAAAGCGTTAAATGAACTAATTCAAGCTCAAGTTTAAGGCATTAAATATGAACTAATTCAAATTATTATCAAGAATTATAAGAAGTTACTAAAGAAAATGTGTTGAAAAATAAAAATTGCAATTTACGTTTTTATTGTGTAACAGAATTATAAGTACCTATATGTAAAAATTTAAAAGAATGTTATCAATTATTATCATTTCATTTTGGTACAAAAAAAGGTTCTAAATAGTCGTTATGTACCTATAGTCTGCGAGTCACGACACAAAAAGTCAAAAATTGGCAGTTGAGATTTAACAACTAATATGTTCGTGGCGGTCAAAGACCAGTTTTTGTGTCTCAAACAATAATTATTAATAATATGAAATTAAAATTTAAAAGTGAAAATAGAAATAATTGTTTACTGTTTGTTCATAGACAATGTATTAATTAAGTAATAGGTCTATGGATTTGTTTATGTTTTGATGTTATTTATAGGCAACTATACTACTTTAGTTATAAAAAGAGTATTAAGCGTTATAAATATAACTATGCTCTATGAAAATTATATTGTTAATAAACGAACATAAAATTTTCAAGATCATAATAAAAAGAACTTAGTTCACGTTAAAGTTCATTTCTTGAAAATTGTACTCGTTCATGTCAAGTTCATACAATATACAATAAGAACACATTCTTTCCTATCATTACATTATTGCAAATTTCCACTTATATAATGGTAATTCTTTTTTATCATTTAAAGTTCAAGGACCTATGCATTTACTACGTTTTTTGTTTTCTGGTATCTTACACTAAACATTTTTGAACGTTATTATCTTCCTTATTCAATAATCACAATCCAAATATTTATTTTTTTAAATCAAACCAATTTGTGATTGATTACCATAATCTTAAGGCTTCAAAGTCTTTTTTTTTTTGTTAACTTATGTATGTGAAATAATAGGTTAAAGGAGATAAGTGAAAACGACAGAAGACAATTTGGAGAATTTGAATCGTCTTTACACGTTCGATAAATAGATTAATAATAATTTTGTCCTTCGTCGAAACCGCTACAATAATAATATTACGTCGTATATGTTAATACTTATATAGACGAACAAATAATTCATACTATATATTTTTGATTAATCTTACCTTTGGTTTTATATCACAGTTTGTAGATCGTGACAACAGATTTCTCCGAAATGTTATAGAATTTGGTATTTGCATACCGGATTCATGCAATGCAGACGACTTACAGGTAACATTGCAAAAGGAATTTGATGCACACTTCCTACCACACCGGATCAACGCTCAAGTTCAAGTTGAATCAATATCATGTTCGACGGACAAGGACGAATATCCATACGATAATGGATTTTATTTGACCAGGTAACGAACCTTAACGTTATATTTATATGTATATAAAGCAAACAATTTTCCTTTTTACTTTATTAATTTATAATATTATTCAATAAAACTATTTCTTTTAGTTAGATTAGGGTATTCTGTAGTTTCCTAACAGCATTTGTTGGTGTTGCTTACGACCAATAGATTGCGCGCTAAGGACAATATATTATTATATCGTAACTTTAATGTAGTATTATAGTTTTATCACTCGTCGATAGAATGAAAACACTTAAGAATTAATTTTAACCTTTTGTCTGCCTGGTGAAAATCTTCTTACCTAATGGATATTCCAAATGGACGATAAAAGAAATGGTGGGGAAAGGGGATACATATAATAACACATGTGGAGCTGGGTACATTGACATTTACAAAGCATGGACATTTTTTTGCAGTGACCGGTTAGTATTATAGCAAGTGGATGGCCTTCTCTTCTTCGTACATTGCTCGTGTTCCTACATTTTATATGTTGCGCCGGTAGTATAGAACAAAGTGCATATATAACGAGTCATTGTTTGAATTAAAACGGCGCACGGAATGGTTAATAGGGACATTTTTTATCATCCGTAAATCTCACTAAGAATTGAAATACTATTATTAATTGATTTTAAAATGTATTAATCAAAGATCAGATAACTTATTTCGTAGAACTTAATGTATCAGTGTAATACTGTAATCTATACGTGGCATCCATAGTTTTTACATTACTTTCGTTTAAATATAGGTAGTTATCATATAAAATGTGTTATGACTTATGAATATTTAAAATATTATGCAAAAATATACACAATAAAAATTCGATCATTTATATCATTATGACGTAATTCGTATTCATTTACTAGTCAAATTTTAAAAACAACGCTGCAGAAAAAAAAACATTCAAATGCATATTATAAATCCTAGTTTTGATATTATAATGATGTGATGCAAAATGTGAACATTATCTAGATAAAAAATAGTTAATTTTAAACTTTTTTACTTATCCAATTACTTAACCAGTTAAAAAATTTACTATAGTAAATAAGCTTTATCCAGTTAACTTGAAAATTAATGCGTTAAGTTCAAATCATATTTATAGATAGATGAGTACCTCTATAATACAGTATATATCATATATGTATATCTTGTATATATATTTTAAGTTATAAATTATAACAGTATATCATTAGATAAATTTAAAAAAAAAAATTCTTTTTTGTTTAATCAAGATGTATACAAAGATTTCGAATAAAAATAAACAAATAAATATGCTTTGATTGAATAATCAAGTTGACACGAACATGTAATATCCTTAAATATTATAGTTAGTGTGCTTGCAAAAGAATATAATAATATACATTTTTAACAAAATAAGTAATTAGTTTAATCGATCCCAAAAAAATACATTTGTGTATCACCACACCATGACACTGTGAATGAATGCTACAATTTACGAGTAATGAACTTGATATCTATTATTAGTATGTTTTCTGTGTTAAATTTGTGTAACAAAGACTTGTGTTACAAATATCAAATTTGAAAAATTGAATTTTTTTTAAAATTAAAATTTATTTTTAAACTTGATACAATCCATTCAAATACACAAAAGTTAGTTAAATAGTTCCAACTTCTATCTTAAACTATATAGTATTATACATCATTAAGGATTCGGTGGGTATTGAAAATATAATTTAAATTTAGATAGTATTATTGATTTTAAATTACTTTTATTTCAAGCATAAAATTTCTTTCCGATCATTTATCATTAATAAATAATACGTATTATGTTGATAGTAATATAATTTAATATTAAAATTATTTTCACAGATAGACTTTACCCTCGTTGACATATTACTTATAAGTTATTTTAAACCAATTTTAAAACATTAAGGACTATTTTAGATATATTTATTGACGATAATAAATAAATATTCTATATTAGGTATCTAACTGTAGTATATACTGTAATTTTATACTTTAATATAACGGTCACTATAACTACACTATATATTAATCGTTTGGTTATTAAAGTTTACTAGTTGGATTTATATTTTTGCTCTGCTGCTTATCAACAGCGTACCATATGGCAATATTAATACAGAGTAAAAACGAAAAAACAAGTGAGTACAATATTTTTTAGTTTTAAATACCTCTGTTTTATTATGTCAAACACTCCAATACGCGTGATTTGGTTAAATTTTGAGTAAGCCACATTAATTCCAAATTTCCAACATCAACGTTTCAAAACCTCTTAAGTGATTTCCGAGTTGTATGTACCTACATTAAAATGAGGTTTAATTTTTAATTTTAATTGAGTGTACATAATTATGTTGTATAAACAGACATTGACATTTAATAGTTCAACTCACGAATATGTTGTGTACTTAAAATTATTTATAGGTACAACGTGACTTTTTAAAGAATTCAATAATAACGAATATATTATAGTATTCTGATATAAAATATAAACATGTTTTTGGACTTACCGAGGTATTTTGGATTTACAATGCATTTATTTTTTCATCAGAAAATACATAATATTGAAAATATATTTAAAAGTTACATGTAGTATATTATAATATTATTATGCAATACGTTGGAAATTGAACACAGATTATATACTTGAAACAATTTTTTTTTCTTCATATATCGGTTTTTGAGAAGATAAAATGAAAAACAACAATATATTATTTGACCGACGAAATTGTTATAGCAATAAGCGTTCTGTTTTTATGGAAGTCCTCGAACACGTATTTATGGTACCTATTATTTTTCAAAATCGTTGTACTCTTCGTGTTTATACACCTGCCGATGGCTTAAAATAAAAAAAATATAATATTATTTATTATATTTTAAGTAAAATTAAAAGGCTCATAAAAAAATTGTTAATATTGTAATTTTGATTTCTAACTTTATCAAGGTAATTTTCAGAAGAAAATATTTTTTAAAGTTTCATAATATGCCTTTTGGCGTTTGGCCTTTAAGCTTTTTCAATAATAATATCATGCCAATCAATTCTTCATAGTTAATATCATAATTATGTTATTGCTGTACAATCATGTTTAAAAAAGCCGCTGTACAGTCATTGTTTATCCAAAAAAAATTTTCTTATTTTAATTATCTACAATATAAGTTGTAAGTCCCATGTAAAAAATATACAGTTACTATAAATCTCGCTGAGAAAGCATTTGCCTATATAAATTATATCATCATATTATTATTACAGTATGTTATTTTCATTGTATTATTGTACTTACAGGTAAAATTCCGGAAATATTCAGCATATTTTCGTTTATTCGCAACTTCAGAGATTTGATCAAATACAACAGAAACAACGATCTGAACGTATTCAATGGGCTGAAGGTTTTGACCATGATTTTGGTTTTGTTCGGTCATAAATTTTTGTACTTTATAATAAATCCGATCACGTACGCGATAGATCTTGAAAAGGTAATTCAAATATTATTTTGTATAGGTATATCATAATATATGATATGCAATGTTGCGCGTGCACCCGATGACGCATTTACATACAGCACCTATTTCTAAACTCCATTTATATTTATAAGCTTTATTTTTCCGAATGGTTTTATTTTCTTGATACGTTTGTTTTTGTTTCATTATAGGTGTATAAGGAAGGACCGGATTTCTTATTGACGTGCATGAATTTGATCGATCCGTTTTTTTACATTGCTGGTTTTTTACTATACGTCATGCTGATTCCACAATTCAATAAGCCCGGCACTAATTGGTACCAAATAGTTATGGTGATCGTTTACAAATATCTGAAGTATGTACCTATATCAAATATACATTAGTAAATTACATATTAATTATGTAATTATTAAATTAAGAAAAATAATGGTATTAGTCCATTGCATTAGCCTGGTTAAACGATCGTTTAAAGCAGGAGTCTCCAAACTATAGCCCGCGGGCCGGATGCGGCCTCCGAATAAGTTTTCACCGGCTCGCCAAATAACGGCAAATACTCTAAAAATATATTTAATTTCCATAGTCGTTATCGTATGCACGAGCAATTATTATTAGCTGTATTGGCTGTAGTTTATAAATAAAATTATACATGAAAATTAAATGTGTTCATCCATTTTGGCCCGCTAAAAGCTTTTTTATTTTATGTGACCCTTGGATAAGTTTGGAGACCCCTGGTTTAAAGAAATGATCCGTTTCAATAATTTTTATAATTAAAGTGTATTATTTTTACAATTCGAGTGTGTTTCATTAAAAATTAAGGCACTTAATATTCATATTTAAAATAAAAAACGTTTGCATGAGAGTTTTCTAAGGTTTGAGTTTACGAGTTATTATTTTGAGATTTCACGATAACTGTGTCACTTCACTAATATAGTACAATAAAAATAAAGATTTGATTGAAAAAAAAAGTATTAGTCTTATATTATATGGAGCTTTTTATTTAAAAATATTAGTGTAGTCATATTGTCTAACTGTATATCGCCACTGTTTTATGTTATTAATATTACAATGATTATTGATAATGATGATTGTTCTTGGATAAGGGTTCTACCATCGTACCTGATCGTAATGCTGATGACAACTTTCATCATACCTCATATGGGAAACGGGCCGTTTTGGGCTCCAAGAATATGGCCCGAAGCAGAAAAATGTAAAAACTATTGGTGGGCTAATCTATTGGCAATCAGCAATTTCATACCAGTCGAAAATCAAGTAAAGTGAAAATCTATATTTTAATGATTTGAACATTATAGAACTATAGTAATAGATTGTATACATGTGTACTAAATACACTGTAGAAAAAGTGTACATCAAAAATGTTTAGGTATGTGATGTTTTATGATTTAAAAATAATGAAATTATTATTTTTTTTCTTTTTCCTTTACGTTCAATGTGCACGTTTCTTTATTTTAGAAATATGTTTTGCTCGAATGTAGTGTATTACTGTATAATATAGGTAAACGACTGATTCTTGAGTATAGTATAATATTAAATTTATATTGAGTAACCTATGCATAAAATATATTCCAAACGTGTACATTAAGGTACCGCTCGAAGTTAGTAAAAGTTTTCAATTTATTCAGAACGTTTATTATACATAAACAGTTATAGGTGGAATTTCCACACTTTTATGAAATACGAGTATAAGTATTACCCACCCAAAAATTATACACAATAAAATATTATTTAGAATGTGTTAGTGTAGAATCATACAGTATTTAAATATATTGCCATTTATGATTGATATTTATACTTTTAGAAGCAATATTTGGCATAACTATAATGTGTTTAAAAAATTCGAACCTAAATCATCAATATTGAAATACATAGTTCTCAAGTATTTGATGGTTGGCAAACTGTTTATTACTCTATATTGCTTGTATTAATTTTTTATTTCAAACTTTAAAATAACCCACTTACCTATAGGGTTGTAGAATATGTTCTATTTTTATAGCTTTAAGTGTAAAAATAGGTACAGAATAAAATTAGTAGTATATGCGTGAAAATAAATTATCGTTCTACTGTTACAGTGTCTCATTGCCGGCTGGTATGTATCGTGTCTACTACAGTTTCTCGTCATCGGCACTATTCTAGTTTACGTATACGTCAAAAACCGAAAAATTGGAACATTTTTATTTGTTATGCTTTTATGTATATCTTTGGCGACTTCGTTTGTTATAACCTACACCAACCGTGTATACGGAATAATTCGAGTAATGGTATCGTAAGTATAATCTATACGAAGCACAGTTCTGTGACCTGATTTGACCTAAACCTCGGTGTTGCGGAGTATTGAAGTATAGATACTTGATAGTCACCATTCACTACACTAAAAAAAATATCTTATGATAATAATATTACAGTATATTGTCTTCATACAATTAACTCATTACACATAAATAAAAACTATTATATAATTTTTAATATTTCTACTGTAGTTTTTAATATAAAAAGTAATTGTATATATTTAATGCAACATAATATTTCAGATATGAATGAACTAGGTTAATATTTTAGGCTGAGAATTTTAATTTTTTTTTTTTTTAATTCAGAATAAAATATCCCTCAGAAAAATTATAAGTTTGTTCGTAAAAAATCATTTTGTAAACCATAGTTGATAAAAAAAACTTGTTACATAACAAGTAATATGTAAATGTTTTTATTTGAATATCCAAAAACACTTTTAGGCAATTTTTTACTATTTTTTATACTGGTATGATGGAGATAACAATACAATTCAAGTGTTGCGTTCTCTTAAATACGTTTATGTTAAATTTTTTATATAGGTAGTGAAAAATTGAAAAATTATGATTAACTTGAACCCAAAACTGAAATATTGAATTGTATACAATGTTTTACAATATTTGAATAAAAGTAAGAAAGTAAACAAAATTATTTTAAAATATTTTACTAAGATTCATAAAATATTATTTGACAGAACCAAAATAGTAGTTAATTTGCTCCAACAAAATGTATTCTTGTAACTCTAAACTTGGAAAAAGTTGACAAAATTGATAAACCTACAGAAATTATTTTTGAAACACAAGATACTAAATGTTCAGAAACCAAAAATGTATCATTTAGTTTAGTATACTCACTTAAGAATTATGTCTAAATAAAATTAAGATTATCTAACCATTAGTTGTAGTAGAATATTTAAAACTTAAGCTTGTCTAGTGTCCCGCTCTTCACAATATCTTAACATTTATTATCTGGAATTACAGTTCAACTGGTCGTTAAAAAAAAATTAATACTTATTCACTTAATATTATATATTATATAATGCTTTTTTTTCATATAACTCATCCACAGGTTTTTGAAGAATCCAAGCAATTCAACGGAGTTCAGTAATTTCTACAGACAGTTTTACTATCGGGGTACGCCTTTCTATGCCGGATTACTTGCCGGCGTCGTAGTGGATGAACTGAAGAAACGAGAAATAAAATTTTCCACGGTAATTGCACATATATAATATTATAATATTATAATGTCACTGTCGCATTTAGATTTCTAAACGTTACGTCGTAATAATCGAGATTTATATTATAATATCAGTACTTGCAATAACAAAAAAAAAATGTACATGATTAACCAAAAATTGAAATGTATAAACATTTTATCACTCATATACAAGCTTTAACATAAAACTTTTAATTTCTATAAATACAAATACACAATTTATTTAATTTGTTAATACTAATGGACTAAAAATATAATTTATTATTATTTATTGAGGTTTAAATAATAAACCTACAAAATTGTCTAAGGAAAAAACAACATATAGTTATGTTACTTACCTATGTGAAATTTTATCCATGATTTATTTTATATAGAATTTTTTTTCTTAATTATAAAATTTATATAATTAAAATAATTTTTTTATCATATCAATACCCATATAATCATTGATAATTCAATAAAATATAATACCCAGGGATAGGATCATAGTTGTTAGAAATAATTTTTAAATTTATAAAGTATTTATACGTAGACAATATTTTTATATACTTAAACCATCGGTTAGCCGTTAAGTTTTTTTTTCTGCCAAACATGGCTTACGGTTAATATTTTTATTTTTTGTTACAGTCAGTCGTCTACGTTGGGACTCTGATAGTCAGCGCCGTTTGCGTTTGGGTCCAGCTGTATGGCGCAGTCTTTCACGATGTGGATAGACCCTACAATGTTTTAGAACAATCGGTGTATGCAGTTTTAAGCCACTGCACGTGGACCGTCATATTGTTCTGGATAACGGTGTGTCATTTCACCACTGGTTACGGTAAATCATGACAACTAGATTTTTTCTACTTTTTTTAATAAAACTCAAAAATTAGGATAAAATCCAAATTAGTCCATACTTTTTTGTTCTTTGAGGGTTATCAGTAAATGTACCATAAGTAAAAAAGATGGCCAAAATAATAATTATTAAATATACCTACTGATATATCAACCGACGTAAAACTTTATACGTAATTTACTTGTCTATTTGATTGGTGTACTTGCAAGTATATCCCTGTCATGAGGGAATCTGGTTTTAAACTTATATCGGGAGTAGGCTGAACATCTGGCGGTATTACTTATAGGGTGGTGAAATTCAGAATTTTAATTTGCAAATGTTAACGTATTGAGATGATATGTGTAAGGCTGTAGCGTAACAAATGAAACAAGAAATCAAGCAACTCGAATTTAGTATTTGAATGGTCTTATTTAATATTAATTATTTTTATATAACATTATAAAATAATATTTTCAATAGGTTAAAATAATTAGTGTTATTCCATGAAATATTCATTCAGTAAATAATATATAAACATTTTATTAACGTGAAAAAAAATACAATTTACCATTATTTATGATCCATGTAGTTTACTATTTGTGTATAAAATAAAAATTGGAAAAGGGAAAATAAGAATTTTTATGAAAATTATTCTGAATTTAGGAAGAAAAATTTTGAATTTGAAATAGGTAGTTAGATTGGTGAGTATTATTTCAGGAAAAATGTGAAATATATATGGTTAAATTAATTTATATTATATATATACCACCACCATAATGGCAGGTATCGAACAATATAAAATATGAAATTTTATGACATATTAGAATTAAAAAGTATCAATTTAAAAGTTCATGATTTATTGAAATCATTTCATCTGTGTTGATATATTTATATAGGTCCAATAGAAAAACTGTTCAACAATAGATTAACAGTGCCCCTGGGCAGATTATCCTATACAGTTTATCTTGTCAACATCACCGTCATGATGATGATAGAAAGTAAACAAAAGACGGGTGTAATCCCTTCATCATATTTCTTGGTAAGTAAATATTCACACTAACCATGATTTTAATATTGCTTTAAGTGTTTAAAATGCGAAATTAAAGGCCAAAATTAATAATCTCGAAAATAAAAAATAATTGCAAATACCTACGTCATCATAAACAGTAAAGTAAAATATTTGGGTGAAAGCTGAAATCTGTATTAAAACAAATACACTTCTGCCTGTAGGTATATAAAAATAATAATTTAGGAGTTATGAATTATGGTAATGTTGAAATTCCTGTACTTATGTTCACCAACTATTAGTTTTGTTAAATAACATATTAATATATTAAATAGGTACTATTTCGTGCATTATTTTCATGTTTAAAAACGAGCGAATTAACAACAAAATATTGTTAGATATCCCGAAAAAAGGACACTTGTCATTATAGATTTACTTACATTTCAAAATTATTTATGAAGTATAACAAAAAAAAAAAAATTATATTAAATATTACTATAATCAGATATTAAATGGAATTAAAAGTAAGACATAGATAAGTTAAAATGTTAGTATCAGTTAAAATAAAATAAAATTTTACTTTAAGCTGTGTAATAGTTACTTAGATTTTTCCGTTTAATTTTAAACTTATTGACTTATTAAAGTCGTGAATAATTTATTATATATTTTTTTGATTTAATAATTTAGTACCTAGTTAAAAGGTGGTGGTAGGTAGTAAAAAAAAAAAATGGTTATCTTTCTTAATGTAAAATGGTTTAACAACTATAACGACTCAAGATAATTATTTTTTATAAAATAACTCATTTTTAAAATATAATTTATAAAACGATTTCATTTTTATTAACCGACTACGTATCGTTTCAGATTGATGGGTGGATTGTTGGAGCGATGAGGACATACATGGTGGGTACTTTACTATATTTGATCATTGATGCACCGTCGGGGCATTTGATCAAAAAATTATTATTTATAAAGTAAGTATCTTTAATATTATTTAGATTAAGATGATACCGCAATATTCGTATGTATTGTTTTTGTTTAACAAACGTATACAACACAACATATATTTGCGTCCTGCAGCTATACCGATTAGTTATGTTTAATATTAGAGTGTATTGACTTTTAATGAAACTTTAAAGTAAGAACATTATTTAAGTTTGTAAAATTATCAGTTTACAATTTTAATTTGTAATATTTAAATTTTAAAGCGAGTTATAAGTATCTTTCTATAATATGATATAAAAATGTATATAATTGACTTAAAAATTAAAACATCAAAAAAAAACTAATGTACAAACACAGTTGATGTTTATCCAAAATTTTACTTTCACTTTTCAAGTGTCATAACATAGGTTAATTTCTTTTAATATTAAATCTATGCAAAGTTATAAAATATAAAATATATTTGCGGAACTAATTTTTAATGTTGTACGTTTGTAAGACAAGCGAGATTATGACACAACTAAAATTGTATGAAAAATCGTGTCCATGAGTGCACACTATTTTAACAAATGTTTTTAATACTATTTTTTAGGAAAAACGAAAAAAAAAATTGCATTGATAGTGCGATGACGCCAAATCAGACGGAAGCCAACAACGTGGCTACAGATTTGGAACAAAAAAATTCCTCACGACTGTAAACGTGTATTTATTTTCAAATTTTGTGTATGTATGTGTAATATATTTGTATAATAAATAATATTATACACATGTGTCTCAATACGGATGTCTCCCCTTGAAAACTTTTATTTGATGACTAATATTTTTTGTGTAGGTGCGTGTGTTTATGATCTCGAAAAATCTATATCAAACGTATTACCAAGTATGAGTCATAATATACTCGTAACATGTCTTATTACATATTCAGTTTGCTAAAACTTGACACAAATTCAAATTTTGTTTTCACATCTGATTTAGTAACAATAATATTTTACTTTAAAGTAAAATAAGATAATTAGTAGAACTAATTTTAATAAGAATACTTATTCAAAATATCTAGTTATTAATTTTTAGAAGTATTCAAGTATATATAGAATATTTTATATTATTAAGGAAGATAAACACGTTGAGACACCATGTATTTTGTATATTTTAATATATTTTTTCTATTTAAATATTGTTAGTAATTGTATAAACGTGTTGTTATTGTTTATTTTTATACTTCAATATTTTATTATAATATTTGCCAAGGCTTATCGCCCACTGAACAAATCATTATTTAAATATTTTATTAATTTGCATTTGTCATGATTTTTACGGCGTATTTTTTATGAAACAATCGTAAAAAACAAAATAAGATAATTAAATAATTTTAGGATAGGTAGTGGATTATTAGCAATGATGTCATAATATGTATACCACTTTGGACTATTGCGAGTAATCACGAAATGTGTTTATCGAATAATGACCTCGCAATAACAATTTTATGGGTCTATTATTATATAACGCTTATTTCGACAATTTTATTATACGGCGTTTAATTTGTTAAATAAAGCAATACAATAATCTTCATAACAGCAACAACAGCAAAAACAATAATAATAATAATAAACGACATGACTTAGTAAGACTTACCACAAGTCAGTTCATGTGACGACATGTCATTAAAACTCTCCGTTATAATCGCTGAAGACTTGACGATGACTGATTTGAAGGATGTTACTTTTTCATTATTTGTTTTAGATATTTTCCAGGATCCAACAAAATGTTTCTATTATAACAGAAATAAATGTCTAATTTATTAAACTAACTTAATATAAAATATGAAACATTGATAATTAGAACAAAATGTTACTAATTACATACAGTCGATTATACATAGGTACTATAATATTAATTATTTTTGTAAAACTTGTAGATACAGTGTGATCTTTTTATTTTTATGTAATAATTATGTAAGATGTTCTGTTAAATTTTTTGGGCTATTAAAATTTCTGAAATTTTTTTTTACGTATCGTATTTAAATTCTTCAATAACAACATTTTGAAAAGATGCTTGTGTATTTTTAATTGAGTGCATAATAATTATTTCTAGGTAGACAAAAGTTATTTCATAGTTCATGTATAATATATTTACGTCAAATTATTTTTTAGTTGTTTCGGTTACGCTCCGCTTAATAACAGTAATAACAAATTGCTCGTAAATTACAACTTATTTTATTGTCATTATTGATATAATAGATTCATTATTATTTTATGTGATGTGTGCGATATTTCGTTAATTGTACTTACTTATAGCAAATTGATTTTTTTCTCTAATCTGTTTGATCAAGTCCGATATCTATGAAAGTTCCGGCATTGTGATGTATAACGGGTTATAATAGTATTCATATATTATAATGCCTAATTAATCAGCTTACTGTAAGCAAACAAAAATAACTTATAGTTAGTTATAGTTAATCGTAACGGTTTTACTTTTCTAAAAATAATTTTACTCAAACCGCAATGGCCGTGTATCTTTGTACAAGTATGTACTTCAACATCATCAGAAACACATTTTTTTTTTTCAAATAATAGTATATTATATTATAAATAATTATAATTATTTATAACATCTACGATAAAAATTACTTACTACTATTATAACTTTAATTGTATTTGCATGTACATACTTATTTTGATACGAAATAAAAAATATAAGCAATGGATTAAAATTAATAAAAATTAATCTTAGCTCATGTTGAATAAGTATAAATTGTGATAAATCTCAACTGAATTAACTACGATATCTAAATATATTGTGTCAACTATTTATTTATATTTTTTTATAATTATGTATACTAAATTTGTAAATGCGATGTTTATAAATAAAATTTTTGAAAACAGAATCAGTTTTTTTTTCACATCCCATTTTTTATTTTAAGTTTATAATTTATATTTAACTAAGGAAATAAATTATTCATTACTCAAAAATACACATTCCGAACGCATGTCGTATCATCTCTAACAAAACGTTAGAACCTTGATCAATAATTTCTATTTTACCAGAATACTTGGCACATATTATTGTATTTTTATGAGTCATATAATATTGTTATAATGGTGTTTTTTGTTATCTTAATACTATTGTTTTAAGTCGATCAATATCTTACCGATTGTTTTGAAAATTATTTAAATTTAAAGGTTTTATTGTTTGTTTTAACATTTCTATTGCAATTCTTTGCTTGCAATAGTTAATTTAATTTTTGTTATTTGTAACTTATTTTAATAATTCCATAGCGTTTGTATGACCTATGATTAATTTTTAAGACACGTTCTTGCTTTTGGAAGTTTATCAGTTTCCCGATTTTTATTATTCCTTACGTGCTCTAAATGTTCCAATACATTTGTTATATTAATTCTCCTGTTGGCTCTTGTATAAATTATGTGAATAAAATATTCCTTGCACTTCAAGATTTAACAAGGATTTATCAGAATACTAAAAATACAGATAAACCATCTGCAGTATTAATGGTAAATTACTAATACTATCATCGTGAATAATTACTACTATATATCTATAATTTAGTAATGTTCATTGTATCTTGTTATAATTCAGCTTTACGCATAAGTATAAATTGGGTGATAAGTAACGGTTTACGAGACTTCTAAATTAAACATTTTAAACAATTCTATGTTATTTTGATTCAATATTACAGTCAATAAAATCAATGCTAATTTTTTATTAATTTTATATTATTTATAAATTAAAAATACATATTTTATAAATAACTTATAGATACGATAATTAAAATTTGTAAAGATCGAATTGATTACCAATATTAGAAAAATTTAAAATCAACCATTGCATTTCCGATTGAAAATATCAACTTATTTTAAATAAATTTTTTATTATAAATAAAAATATTGTTATAATTTATAAGTTGAACATATATATCACGCATGTCTTAATGGAACGTTTTCTGGCGTTCTTTTACACCGTTACAAAATGTGGCAGATACAATTTATATAGAGTGCTAGACGAACAACTAACAAGTCTACCTATATACTTCATAACCACATTGTATGGATAACTATGAATAGTATACGTATATAATGGGTTAGATACTAAGAAGGATAGCGATTAATAACTGCGTTTGCTCCGTCATGTTGGTACAAATAATGATAAATAGAGCGCGATTTTCTTGTAAAAGTACCTACTCTGCTATGGATTACGAAATTAAAAATACAGATTGTTATGTATTCAAAAAACCAAAAGCCTACATTAAATATCATGGACAAACATAAAATTATAGAAAAATCATTGTTGAAACTACATAAATACATTTAAATACCTACCTAATTTAGAAAAAAAGAAGAAAATTTAAAATAAAGATCTTTGCTAGTAAAAGAATATACCCTAACAGTATAAGTATAAAATATATTATTTTGAATGAAAAAGTGAATCAGTATTTTTAATGGTACCCCTGTGTTACACAATTCCGACTCGTTTAAAATTTAAAATACTTATAAGTTAAGTATAGCTAGTTAAGAATCCATTTAAAATTCAATCGTTGTATACATTAAAATTTAAAAAAAAATATTCTGCAAAGGAATTTTAAACCAAAAATATATGTTGTCTTTTAAAAAAATGTATAACTAAAAAATGATAAAAATAAAAAATAGAAAAAATAGTAAGAATTGGAATTATTTTTCATATATTTTTGTTTTATAAATAAATCAAATTACGTAGATAAGTAACAAAATTATTTAAAACAAATTTTCAAAAGAAAGAATTTTTACTTAAAATCATAAAAAATTATAACGCACGGTGTACAGTTGCCTTATATGCTATAGGTATTATATAATATGATACCATACGCAATACAACATTATTGTATTATAATACGTTTCGCTAAATTTCTCTGTGTTCGAAAAATAATCCATGTTTATTATATTATACTAATAAGTATATTGTATATATTAATTATTTTCCGAATAACAACAATATATATTATGTAAATGTGTATGTGCGAGAAACTTGAATTAAAATTATATTTTAGTTTCGCTCCTGGGTAGTTTTCCGTTTCAAAAATGTGTAATTACCGAAGTGCACGTTTGCATTTGTGTCAAAATTACATATAGATATATAATATATAGAAAAAAAAACTTTATTCGAGTTTTGTTTAACTATATGCAAATATTGCGTTCGCCAAATTTCTATAGTCATGTATGGTATATAATATATATGTACACATATGATTGTTTTCTCGTACACATGCACATGGACGCATGGGAAATGGTAAAGTTTTCATTAGTCTCGTCAGTCGGTGGATAAACATTTGTGAACATATAACCTAAATTACACACACACACACGCATTTATTATAGGTAGATACAAAATATATGTGAGTACATCGAAAGCGTAAAAACAAAACAAGCAACATTGAGTACACACAATTAAATCATATACAATATCACTACAATAACATCACATATTATCGATATTATTGGTTATTGCACACAAAAATATCACAAGAGATTACAATAGTCTATAATATACAATATTATATTATTGTCATTTAGTGGTGAGAAATTCATTTCTTGAAACGTATAATATAATAGGTATGTACACTTTTTTGTGGTGGGTTCATTACGCGAGTCTGAGATGATTTAACGAGAATATCAATAAACCGAGTATACCATAGTATATAGTATTATGGTATACCTCTAATACGTCTTATTGTGTACAGTATTTACTTTATAAGCTATGATAAGTAACAATAATATAACATACCATATTCAAAGCGAAACTATTATTTTTTTGTGGTAAACATATTGATTGAAAAATAAACCAAAACCAAACGACTTTTTGTAAAAATAATATTCCACTTGCTACTGTGAAACAGGACCAAAATTTCATTAACAAACCAGAATAATGTGCATTTTCATAGAAATATTTTTTCTTCTAATACATCAATTACTAGATCAATATTGAGAAGTTTATGAAATATATCCAAAAGTTTTATATGTGAAGC